AACATCCTGTCTGAAATTATTTTTTTAATACTTAAAAAAGTTGCCATACTATGGAACCCTGATTCCTTGGTCTCTATGAGTCTATTTTAGGCAAATTTCTTTCAAGTTCATCCAACTAATGATAAAAGAGTCTGCTTCAGACACAACCTGGTATTGGGTGTAACAAATGAACAAGATCCAGTCTCTGCTCTCAGTTTATAATTTAACAGGGAAGAGAGTAATATCTAATTCATTGTGATGAATGCACAAAATAGAGCATGCCTTCCTGTGTATGTCCAGCTTCACTGAAAGAAGCTACAGCTCAGCTGAGGGGTGTTGTATGCCTGTGACCCCAGCTACTCAGGAGACTGAGGCAGGAAAGTCACAAGTTCAAGGCCAGCCTGGACAACTAAGCAAAACCCTGACTCTAAATAAAATAAGGGATGGAAGTGGAACTCAGTGGTAGAGTTTTAACCTAGCAGGTAATAACCCCTAAGTTTGATCCCCAGCAACTGAAGAAAAAAAAAAAAAAAGCTACAACCCATGGCTGACAGTTGGGGCAACTGGACTTTTGTGTTTATCTATAAAATAAAGATAACAAATTACCTACTTCTCATTGTAAAGGTTAAAGGAGATGATAAAGGGCTTAGCAAAGCAACTAGCTGGGAGCAGGGGTTTGAAAAATATGTATCCAGGCACCATCATATATGCCTACAGACCCTGAGACTCAGGAGGCTGAGGTGGGAGGATCACAAATTTGAGGACAGGGGCTGGGATTGTGGCTCAGTGATAGAGTGCTCGTCTAGCACTTGCGAGGCCCTGGGTTCGATCCTCAGCACCACATAAAAATAAATAAATAAAATAAAGGTATTGTGTCCAACTACTTCTAAAAAAAATAAATGTTTAAAAAAAAATTTGAGGCCAGCCTTGGCAACTTGTCAAGACCCTATTTTAAAAAGTGTAAAGGACAGGAGATGTGACTCAGTGATAGAACCTAGGTTCAATCCCCAGTACTGGGAGGTGGGGGGAACAAGTACAGTGGTGTAGGCAAGGGTGGAGTTATTCTGGCTTGAGGTTCTTCTGAGTCCCACCTATTACAGCAAAGAGTGCTTTTGGAACAGAAAGTCACTGCAATATGAACCCAAGACGGCCAGATAGAAAGTGGTTAAGCTCAGCTCTATGCAAAGCTGAGGCCACACTACCAGGTTCCAAACCAGATGTGCCACTTTTATCTGGGGGATCTTGGGCAAGGCTCTGCCTTTCTGTACGTTATCTTCCTTATCTATAAAGTCAGGATAATTGTACCTATTGTGTAGGGTTGTTCTAAGTATGTCACATGAAGGGACTGATGCATGTAATGCTTAGAACTGTCCCTGCTGCCTGACAGACACTGCATGTGTTAGTCATTACCGTGATGACGAAATCAATGGCTGCAAATCTCTGGGATATTTCATCTGTCCAGAAGACAAGCCAGCTGTAGGAAAGGGTTCCTGGGCAAGGACCCAGGATTCTCCTGTCCTCTCTTTTGTCCTAGACTCTCCCTTTCTGCCACAGTTTTCTGCAGCCCTTTTCTTTCCTGCCTCAGTTCCGTATCCTTCTATTTCCCAACACCCTAATTCCTGTGCTTTCTCCCAGTCTCACAGGACATCCAAGTCCCAAAGCCACTGAATCAGTCCTGTTGTACCTACTGGTTGCTGGGAGGGTTGTCGTGGAAACCATGGTCTGCTCCATAAACCTCTAGGAATGAGGGAAATGACTTGGAGGAGTCTAGTCTATTTATTGTATTCATTTGCTCCTTTCTGTTTTTTTAAAGCCATGCATATGAACATATTCCCTTCAGCAGTATGTATTCAAACACATGCAAAATAAACACCTAATCAGAGAGCAAAGGAGGCCTAGGTTACTAAACCCAGTCTTGCCCACAGTACAATTTGTCCAGGCCCCACACTGCTTCTGCTGAGTTCATCTGACCTCCCTTTTGTCGGCTTGCATAGCCTGCCTTTCAGAACAATGCCTGGCATCATGAGATGATGGTCTGAATCCCAGGTTAGCCTCTTACCAAATGCTTGATAGGGAACAAGTCACTTATTTTCCCTGAGACTCATTTTTCTCAACTCTAAGATGAGAATCACAAAGTGGTAAAGACTGAATGAGGTCACATTTGTATACCAGCCAGCGGCTACCTAGTTGAGTCTAAATGCTTCTTGGGAAAAAAAAAAAAGTGACAAGACTTTGAGGCAAGGAGATCTGGGTGTTTGGAATGAAAAGGTTGGAAAATGACAGAATTATGTGTTTAAGATAATTATAAGTTTAAGATAATTATGTATTTAAGATCTTAGGAGGCCAAAGAGGAAACATAAATTGTGAAATATTATCTCTCAACAGAAGAAAAACAGAAACATTTTGTAGTTACTAGCCCATTGGCTGTCAAGACCAAGATTTCTAAAGAAAAAAATTCCTCTGTGAGCAAGAATATCATATTTCTTCCACCCAAAATATTCCAATAAAAGCATTTATAAAACAAGACCAAAGAGAAAGTTGTCCTTTATTACTATCCAAGTGCATAAGAGAAAAAGATGAATGGAGAGAGATTCAACTATTGTTACTTGTCATGTTTTAACACAAATAGTCATGGTTAAGGCTCCTAACAGTCTCATCAGAGAAAGATTTTCATGGCTCTTTCTTCATGATTAACTTGGCCACCACCCCAGTGACTGAAAAAACTTAATATCTAAAGAAATTAGGAACGTTTACACCTTGTGGGAAACTCTGGCTCCAGGTTTAGTTCCACAACTGACAAAGAGAATATTTATGAACCAAACTTTTCTTTAAAATGTCAAATTAGCCAGAAATGGTGGTGCATATCTGTAATCCCAGATATGCAGGAGGCTGAGTCAGGAGGATCGAAAGTTCAAGGCCGGGCTCAGTAACTTATCGAGGTCATGTCTCAAAAAAAAAAAATTTTTTTTTTTAAAAAAGGGCTGGGGATATTGCTCAGTAGTTAAGTACCCCCTTGGTACCAAAAAAAAAGGGTGAGGCTGGGATTGTGGCTCAGTGTTAAAGCACCCCACCCAAAAAAGTCAAGTTAGAGGACACAGCTTGGTGGTAGAGCATGAGGCCCTGAAATAAGATTTTTAAATAAAAACAAAATGCCAAATTAGAAAATTTATATGGATAGTATTCAAGTGGCCCCCACATAAAAATGCAAAACATAGGGAAGATGTAAATTGAAAACAAAAATTTTAAAGATACAAATTGTGAAAATATCAGTATGAAATTTTACTAGGTTCTAGGCACTTTTCTAAATGGGCATCTACAGACCATAATCTGAGAGAATGATTCTCACTAATTAGAAGTTATTTACTAATTTAAGTCCATATGCTTCATAACCCTGACTCTATTATCCTCCTTTCCTAATGAAACAATCTCAGTTATTATAGAGTGAATACATATTTTGTAGTTGAGAGAAGTTTAAATACAAGCATGCAAACTTTATAACAGCAAGTTTCATTGCAAGATGTTTTCCATTGTCTAAAAACCAAACAAACAGAAAACCCATGCAGAAAATGTTTTCATTCACCTGCTTTTCTCAAGAAGCCCAAATGGATTAGGCAAATCCGTCAACATTGATTATTATTGGTTTTCAGAGGAAGCACCAGTTCCTATCACAAGAACACTACATGCACCTCTGTGTGTAAACCTGTGTCTCTTCCAAAGGATGTTTCAAATTAGCCAGAGACAGTACCAGCTAGGGGCACATTTATCCTCCAGCACCAACTCATAACTCCCCAACACAAATACATTGCAAACACTTAGATTAAATTTGCTTTGCAAGATCCTGGGGTTCTGAATTGAGCCCAGTGCCATGAGTCAGTGCCAGGAGTCAGAGTGTGTTTCTGGTCCCAACTCTGTCACACCCATGTGACCATGGATCTCAGTCTCCTCTTGTGCAAACGAGGAGATGGGGCCAGCTGATTACAGGTCCATTTCAGACTGAATTCAGAATTGGAGCAGGCAGCAATATATGCTGTTCAGTCCCCTTAGAAGTAGAACATTTTAGGCCAACACGTAAAACAAAGCCTAAAACAGGGTCTTGTTAGGTGTTCATTCAGCAGAATGGCAGCGGAAGGGATGTACTAAAATTCCGTTCACTTCTGAATCTCTGGTTTCACGTGGGTTAGTGTGAGCATGCTTGTGTGTATAGGCGTTGCCCACAGGATGCCAATAAGCCCTATGTGTGAATTCACCATGGGGGCTTTTCACATCAACTCAGAAAACACCCAGCCAGAATCAGAAGAAAGATGAACGGCCTTAACAAGATTTAGTGTTCCTTATACCAAATGAGTGAGACAAGGCATTTTTAAAGTATGCTCAGTTCTGTATATCCTACTCTTTAAAATTGTGCTTCTGCCACCTTGATGGCCTATTAAACAAATTCATTAAGAGTTGTGAGTGAAGAGATTTCAGTATAATTTTTTAAAGATAATGGGCTTTTCAGGCATCAATTTTAAGAAGATGGCCCAAGAAATAAGCTATAATTACTATATCATTTTTCAACTTATTTTTAAGCACTCCTCCCCCAAAAACAAACAAATAAACAACCCTGAGGGCAGATTTGAATAAAAAAAGAAACAGTCTCTCCGAGTAACCTCTGCAGTAAAAGAGTTGGCTCCTTCGGCAGATGCACATGAGTGACTCTTAAAAAGTTTATTCTTAATTGTGAGGGAGTTAACCTAGGCCCCTCCCTCCAGATCCTGCTGCTCGAAATTCTCAGGTCCCCAAGATTAAACTGTGCTAAACTCTGAGCTGGATCAATTTCCCTTTAAGAGACAGAAGGCAGTAGAATACCTATTGACTCCTCCACCCCAACCTTCCCCAGTGCTGCAGTGAGCTCCTGTTTTCATCCCAACAGGTGCAGCAGAATGTGTTCCTGAAAGGAATTGGGTCGAGTTCGAAGCTAGACACCAGTCTTCCCCTAGCCTGTCTTGAGTGACAGCCTTGTGAGTGGTGCTTCTACTTACCTTTTTCACAAGGTAGCCCTCCCTGATCTGCTTGGGTTCCATGCCGATGGACAGAAGGACAGACGGTTCCCTTCTCAGACAAGTCCTCTCAGAAGCTCACCTTCCTCTGAGACCCCAGGCGGTTGTGGGCTGTCTTTTTCACAGTGAGGTCTCTTTCACAATTTCCCTTCTGCTGGTGATCGCATGATCACATCCTCTTCCCCTCAGTGGGCTGGAAGAGCAGAATAAGGAACTGTAGAGCCAAACAGCCCAGGCTTTGCTCATACTGGAAACATTAAAAATACAATTGGGTGCAATATTTGCCAAGATAAATTTTTATTACCATAAAGAAAAGAATTATCTTTTTTATTTTTTTTCCTAGAGAGAAAAAAAATAAACGATAAAAAGAAAAGGAAGATGAACAAGAAAACTTTACTGGTAGAAACTATCCTGCTTAGGAATTGTTCTTGAGACCCTGAAAATGTTTGATAACAATACCAAGAAATCCAGAGCCATCTGATTAGCATAGAGGTACCTGCTGTTAAGTGAACATTTACTTCTCTCCCAGGCCCTGTACCAGGGGTTTGTCAGCCTACCTTATTTAATTTGGTCTTCTGAGGAGCCCTATAGGAGCCAGGCAGGGTGGTGCACACCTGTAATCCCAGTGGCTCAGGAGGCAGGCAGGAGGATCGTGAGTTCAAAGCCAGCCTCAGCAAAAGGTACTAGGCAAATCAGTGAGACCCTGTCTCTAAATAAAATACAAAATAGGGCTGGGGATGCAGCTCGGTGGTCAAGTGCCCCTGAGTTCAATCCCCAATACCCCCCTCCCCAAAAAAAGAATCCCAGAGGGGAAGTATATTGCTGCCCCTATCTTAGAAATAAGGAAACTCAGGCTTGGATAAAGAAAGCGGTTTTCTCAAGATGACTCAGCAGGTGAGAGGTGAAACAAGAACAGAAGGGAGGAACCACACCAGGGTGCCCCTGCCTCCCACTAGGCATGAGAGCAGTGCCCACAGTGGACACTCACCCCACAACAGGCCTGTAAAAAGAAGTCTGCGATCAAACATGTTTGAGAAACTGTTTATTATAGTTACAATTTGGTGAATGATCTTACAGATTAACCAATTAAACATCAAGTACCACACAATGATTGCCATAACAGATTCCCAAACTTGCTTGACTACAGAAATCTTTTTCGAACTACTCCTATAGACAATTTGGTTATGGATTGAATTGCGTCTCCCCCCAAAAAAGACGTCGTAACCTCAAGAACTTCAGAAAGCGACATTTTTGGAATAGGGTGGCTGTAGATGTAAATAGTTAAGTTGAAATGAGGTCATGCTGGAGCAGAGGGGCCCTTAATCCAATATGACTGTTCTCTTTATAAGAAAAGGAAAAGAAGAGCCACACAGAGAGAAAACAGTCATGTGATCACATGATAGAGGCAGGGTTATAGTGACGAATTTAAAACTCAAGCAATGCCAAGGATTGCCAGCAGCCCCAGAAGCTAGAAGAAAGCAAGCAAGGATTCTCTCTTTGAGTGTCATGGAGAACATTGCTCTGCTGAACTGAAACCTCCAGCACTCTGAGACAATACATGATGCTGTTTTCAACCACCCACTATGTGATGATTTGTTATGGCAGCCCTAGAAAACAAATGCACTTTTGAAAAGCTGACATTGAAGATGGGCAAGTTATTTAATCACTCTGTGCCTCAGTCTTCTCATCTATAAAATAGGGATGATAGCACCTATCCAATGGGGTCATTCTGAAGATTGAATGAAACAATACCCACAGTTTCAGAAGTGTCTGGGAACATAGTAAATATCCGTAAATGTTAGTTATCCCTCATCTTCAAGGCAAGTTTCCATTATCCCAGAATTGGCCCTTTTCAATAATTAGTTCAACAGAGATGATAGAAGTAATCATAGGACTAGATTTCTAACTAGTTCCCTTTCCTTATTATACCAGTCAGTGTTCTTTGACTGTATTTGACAAAAACCAATGTTGGCTACTATAGGCACATAGGAATTTACTGGAAGAGAATAGGATGGCTCACAGACATGAAGGAAAAGTGAAGACTTAGGTCTCTGGAGGGACAGGAACCAGGGCACTGCAGGATTCCAGAAAGTAAAAACCAACAGCCCATCTCTTTGGGGCATCAAGGTGAAAGTATTCTGGTGGTTTTGTGGCCTGTGGCAATCTCCAGGTGTCAGGGCACTGAGTGGCCTGGTTCAACTTAGAGCTTCCCTCTCAGGAATCTCAAGGGGTAGCATGTGGACTGATGGCCCTAGTAGGCCATGCACCATGGGGCAGGGGTTTTCCCCCAAAATAAAAGGAAGATGCGGAAGTAGTAGAAGAGTGAGAGGTACCTAGACGGGGAAAACCAACAGATGTCCTGGTCCGAGGAGCCAGGAACATCAGGGGAAGGAAGAAGTTCAGAGATTCTCTGAGAACTTCCTGATTCATTCTCTTCCTTCTTTCCAACTATGTTTCTAATCAGCAGTCATGATTCCTCTATTTTTCATTTTTTTCCCTATTAATATAGATTACATAAAATTGTAGATAACTTGCCATCCGTTTCTCATTGCACCAAAGTTAATTAGAAATTATTAGAAAGCATTGGAGTTAGAAGTAGAGGAATTAACATTTGATGACACCTAAGCAAAACAAAAAAATTAAAGGAATGATTTGCTGTGTTTACATTCAAAAAAGTATTTTGCTGTATCTGTACCGGCAATGGAAACCACCATCAATACATTAACCAAGTCTTATTCATGGCTACATTTGTCTTCTTTTCATTGACCAACTGATTTCTAATTTGGAATCCTTTCTACCTTTGTCCTAGCATGATCAGAAGATGTATTAGTCAGTTTTCCATTGCTCTGACAAAATGCCTGAGATGAAAACACTTAAAAAGAAGAGAGGATTGTTTGGGTTTCAATCCATGGTCACTTGGCCTCATCACTGTGGAACTGGGGCAAGGCAGAACACCTTGGCAAGGGAACATGTGGTAGAGCAAAACTGCTCACCTTGTGGCAGCCAGAGAGCAGAAAGAGAAGGGGCAGAGCTCCAGATATCCCCTCTAAGAACACACCTCCAGTGACCTCACTCCCTTGCACCACACCCCACCTCTTAAAGTTTCAATGGTAACTATAACTTTATCAGCTGGGACCCAGGCCTTTAACACAGAGACCTCTGGTGTACACTTAAAATATAAACCCTAACATTAGGTTTTTAAGTTCTTTACACAGAAATGTCATGCTATTTAAACTTTTTTTTAATGCCTACAGTATAAAAGTACTCCCTGTGTTCTGAATAATTCATTTCAAGAAACTTGGACTGAGTCTTATTCATGAATAAGACTTTACTATGTGCGAGGCCTTGGAATAGATGTAGGAATAAACGTCCTGGGATTCCCCAAATGTGTGAAGCAGTGGAACAACTGGTGGATTAGATGTTGCCACTGGGCTCCTTCCACTCCTGCCCTGGGTCATCATGCCTGCTTAGCAACACCTTGTGGTCAGTAGAGAGAACTGCCTGGATCGATAGGATTTGGGACTTGAGGAAGTTCCAGCAAATGTTCTTTTTTATCAGACCTCATGCCCGGTCATTAGAACTTCTTCCAATATCTTTCCTATGTACCTGGACAGGTTTACTTTATTAAACCTCATCCTGTCATTCTTTTGATTCTCCCATATTTGATCCATAACCTTGGAAACATTCTTGTAGCACATTTTATTGGTGTAAGGAAAAAGTAAGACTTTGGAAAAAAAAAAAAGATTACTATGTGTTTCCAATGTAAAATTCTGTGCTATTTACAGTAAACCTTCATAAGGTTGATTCTATGGTGTTTGTAATTTTCCTTGTCTTGGAATCATTTTGCAACTCTAAATTGTGGATAACTTACAGCAATGCAAACAATTCTTGCAAGAATGGAAACTCTATATTTCCCTAGACCACCTCTACCCTCTTCCTCATCCCAGTCCCCTCCCATAGAAAAGTTTTGTGTCTAATTAGAATTGCACTTCAACATTCCTTTACTCCATGTAAATTTGTCTTTGATCTCTCTTTTCAACGAGTTGTGACATCTTGCAGGAGTTAACACTTCAATAAATTTTGATTTTTCTTATGTAAGAGTCACAGTTGTATCTCTTCTTAAAATTTATTCTTTAGCATTGGCAACTCAAAAAAAAGACCTTAAATTTAGCTGAATTTAGTACTCAGTGCTAGTACTGACCCTAAATTAAGGGAAAGATGTACAAACCTACGAAGAGTCTGATATTTTACCCAACTGCAAGCTAACAAGTCAGCCTGCCAGTTTTGTCAAAACTAGTAAAGATATAGATATAGATACATACAGATATAGATGTAGATATTGTTTTGTACAGGGGATTGAACCCAGGGGTGTTTATCCACTAAGCCACATCCCAGTCCCCCTTTTTATTTTATTTTTTCTTATTCCAAATAGTTACAAATGACAGTAGAATGCATTTTGATACATTATAGATAAATGGAGTATAACTTCTCATTCTTCATACACCATGTAGAATTACACCAGTCATGTAATCATATATGCACATAGGGTCATAATGTCTGATTCATTCTACTATCCTTCCTAGCCCCATACTCCTTCCCTTCCCATACCCTTTCCTCTGTCTAATCCAATGTAACTCTCTTCTCCCCTAGCCACACCCCCCAACTTATTGTGAATCACCATCCGCATATCAGAGAAAACATTTGAGCTTTGGTTCTTTGGGATTGGCTTATTTTACTTAGCGATATTCTCCAGCTCCATCCATTTACTGGCAAATGCCATAATTTCATTCTTCTTTGTGGCTGGTAATGCCCCATTGTGTATATATACCACATTTTCTTTATACATTTCTCTGTTGAAAGGCACCTAGGTTGGTTCCATATTTTAGCTATTGTGAATTGAAATGCTGTAAATGTTGATGTGGCTTTGTTACTATAGCATGCTGATTTTAAGTCCTTTGGGTATAAGCTGAGGAGTGAGAAAGCTGGGTCAAATAGTGGTTCCATTTCAAGTTTCCTGAGTAATCTCCATACCACTTTATAGTTATTGCACCAATTTGCAGTGCCACCAGCAATGTATGAGTGTACCTTTTCCCCCACATCCTCACCAAACTTATTGTTGCTTATATTCTTGATAATTGCCAT